AAAAAAAATTAGAAGACTTCATTGTTTATTCTATTTCCTCATATGGATTTAACGTGTTAAGTAGAACATCGAGTTTTAGAAGATATGGGTTTGTTAAGAAAAAAAGGTCAAATTCCATGACAACATCATCCCTCCCAATATTTCCAAAAACCTAAAAACTTTATACCTAATACACGGGATGGAAATAAATAAATTAAAAGTCAACTACTCACGTGAGACTAGACTTTGCACGTGCCAGGTGGTGATAGTACATGCCATATCACGATTCTTAAGTTATCAACTTTTCTTTGGATTAGAATTTATTTGATGAATGATTTATCTTTGTGTGATCTAGACGACTGAATCAACTAGGAGAAACTTGCGTTGATATTTTCTTCTCTATAATTAAGGACAAAAATGGAAAGACAATAAACAAGAAATGGCTAAATAAGAGTAGAAAATGGAAATAGAACGCATTGCAGTTACTCGATTAAGAATTTAAAATTTAAACCGTTAAAGACGATACATCATAACTACATACGGATTATATCCATCACTCAAATGCTTGACACATAAAATATCTATAAATAATCAAAAAAGCTACTTGTACAAAAAAAATTTGACAAAAACGTTGATACACTCTCACATGATGCTGCACCCCACATGTATAAAAAATTGAAAAAAAAAATGTGGGGCCCCCCTGATGTGAGGGGCCGGTCAGGGTGTTTGTCACCCTGACCCGGTACACCAAGGGCGGCTCATAAATAATTAGTGACGAGACTTAGACAGTTGGCTACAAACAGTTTAAATTTCTTGAAAAAAAAGGAAAAATAAGATTGCGTTGAGGGAAACGCAACCTTCTCTCCAAGATAAAAATTAGAAATATTATCATACGGCTACAAACGGTTTAAATTTCTTCAATAAAATTCTCTTTTATTATTGTGTTTAATTTTCAAATATAAAAAATAAAGCCGCAGAAGCCTGGGGGCTGGCCTCCATTGTCCCCTTGGCTCCACCCCTGCTTAGACTCAACAAATAACTTCCTATTCTACTATTAAATTGAATTAATTTTATTTGAAATTTTAAATCGTTAAAGAACCAAGAAATATAATTAATTATGTTAATGGCCAACTCAATTACTCGGATATTAATAAAGATATGGGTTTGTTAAGAAAAAAAGGTTGACAATTGTAAAGATATATCATAGATTATTTTACAAAAAGTGCACTTAGAAAATAACAGCTTCATTAGTATACTATGTAATATATTATTAATTAAAGAAAGAGATAAACGCGTAAATTGACGGCGTTGATTAATTATGCCACATTAACATTCATATTTTTCAATTTTCGTCTATGATAAGATGACTTAATTGATACCGAAGTATAAATTAAATGACTCGATTGTATAAAATGAAATTTGAATAACACACGTGCAATTAAAATATAATGGTCCTACCAAAAGTTAGATGTTTTACTATCACAAAACTTTCAAGGAGCGAAATTGGCACAAGATTTTTCTTAACGAACTCATGAGCTATCGGCACAAACATGGATAGGGAGTGAATGAATTAGACATACATATACTGAATGTTAAGTTGTGAAGTCTAATTATTGTCTCTGTATAGAATCCGTATGCGGATTAACTTCTGGCGAAAATAAGGTTGGCGATTTTTCTTATGTAAAACTTTTTTTGGTCATAGTGAATGATTATAACAACGGACAAATGCGTAATTTCACATTGAGACGAACATCTATATATCTTGCATATTTTTTTGTCTTTAATTTGTTACTATAATTTTACTGCTCTTGATGGTATAGAATTAGAGTTCTAATTATCAACACCGAAAATCTATCAAAAGCATGATAAAATATTGCATTATTCAACGATACTCATGTCAAGGCGTGGAAAAAGAAAGTACGTGAACACTAAATACCCATTTTTATGTCGATAAATATACGATAAGAGTCCTTTTGTTGTGGTTAGTTATGTATGCAAAATACCTTCTTTTAGCATTAATTTTCCTATGTATTTTTTCCCTGTGTTGTTTTTTGTAGTTTGCTAGGTGGTGTTGAACAAGTGGATATGCTCTCTAAACATAGGAATATATCATATCTGTTGAAGTTTCTAAGTAAAATTAAACTAATAAATAAAATCTTCTGTAATCTGGGTGTGGTACGTAGTTTATGCATGGCAACGAATAAATGGTGATTATTAACTTGGACCTTTTCTTATTCAAATACATCCAACTCCTCCACCTTCAATTTCTACAAAGATAATATGAGAAATATTAAAAAATGATGAATACGAAATCATCCAAAATTTGGTAGTGTCGCCCGCTGCCATTGGAGTATATGAAAATTTTATTGGAAAATTTTTATCCCAATTTATTATTTGACTAAGGGTGAGAATTTTTTAAAAATCAAAAGTTATTTTTAAGATTAAGAAATTATTTCTTTTCCATGGAATTTCGACGAGTAAATAACCCACACTTTTATCGGTTTTCCTGTGGGTAAATTCATGTCTCATTAGTCATCATTGGAATTTCTTCGAAAACTTTAAAGCACCCTCAAAATAGAAACAAAATGTTACTTGAAAATATTTAAAGCACCTTCAAAATGTTCCTACATTCCACAAATGATGATATGTCCGACTATCAAAAAGTGATGTTATTAAGCACCATAGTGTCAATTATCATTTTAGGTGGTAATTGTGTGACAATAAATGATTCACTCTAAATGCAATATCCCATGATTTATTTAATTGAATTCATTAAGTGTAATAATCTAAACTGGTGTTTTAGCACCATCGATGCTAAATAACATTATTACCCAAAAAAAAAAAATGCCCATTATCAATGACAAATTAGGGAGGAATCTTTGTTATACTACTTTTGACTTTTGTTCTATATATATATATTTTTTATTATTTTTTTAATTTTTGGGAACTTTTAGGAGATTGGCGCAGATATGGCAATTTTCTCCGCCCCGTCCCGTCCAGTCCCGAATGGGGCAAAAAAAACCCGCCCCGAACAGGTTGGCGGGGCGCAGTTCGCGGGGCGGGGCGGGGCTGGGCGGGACGCCCTGAACCCGCCTGTGAAGNTTTCAAGTGCTTGCTTTGAATATTGATATAGTTAGTTTGAACATTATTTATTTTGGATTTTAAAATTTTGAATTTGTATTTTAAATAAAAATAAAAAATAAAAAACAAATGGGGCAGGAAACGGGGCAAGTCCTCGCCCCGTACCCGCCCCACCCCGCCCTGTCTAAGGCGGGGTGGGGCGCGGGGCGGGGAGAGGGAGAGGCGTGGTGGGACGGGGTGGGGTGAGAGTGCCCACCCCTAACCCGCTCCATTGCCATCACTAGATTGGCGTGGAAGAATGTGGTTAAAGGCATCATTATTACTAAATTCACATCACATAGCTCCCCAAACCTCAATAGTTACCGGTTCGAGTCTTCTCAGGACCACGAAGGTGAGTACCCAGCTGTAAACTTCAGGGGCCCATGAGATTGGTCGAGGTACGTGCAAACTAGCCAGAACATCTATGGTTATAAAAAAAAAAAAAAAGAAAAAAAAAACATTCTTGATATATCACCTCATTACATGTGTTCTGCTAAAATGTTATTAGATGAGATAGTTAATACGATTCTAGATAGGGGCTTGATTCTAATGATCTTGTTGTCACATGTTTATCAAAATTTGCTTTCGTGTGACTAGTTTGTTCAAGAAAATTATTTGATCAGCATTTGAATATCTGTATGTGTTGAAAATGAGATTTAGCATGGTTTTTTTATAAGTTTTTAAGAAATTACTTTTAACCATACAACACTCACAACTACTACTTATGTATTATTCATCACTCATTTTTATGCAAACAAAAACGATACATATGCCATATTCCGCTTAGACTTTTCTATTTTTACTTGTATGTATATTAGAAACAAGTTTCTATTATTATTATTATTATTATTATTTTGTGTGTGTTGTGGTTGGTTGGAATAGCGGAGAGGTTGATCTAGCTTTCCTAAATTAAGTTAATTACATTAGTTACAGTTGTGGCATTAGAGCGAACATAAATTATTCACTACGATTTCACCATTACTTATTTATAAAATTGTGTACATGTGATGTGTCCTGGGAAAAGGAAAAACAGATTGTTTACAAGAAGACGAATTCAAAACACAATTAAATAAATAAATTCGTCTTCTTTCTAACTTTTAAATAACTTCATTTAACGTTAAACGCATTAAATGATTCCATACTTATCTGGTTATCAAGAATTCTTTCACCAGCTGTCCTAAAAAAAATTGTAAGTTTGGTCTTCTTTGATGATGTATGAATTGCAGCGTCAATGGATATACAATACAATGAGAGAAAGAGAGAGAGAGATTCTAGGCTGGATAGAAAGACAAACAGAAGAATTTTTTTTCCCCTAAAGATCTGAGTCAATTTGATTAAATACTTAATATATTAATATCTGCATGCTTTTAAATTTCGACGGTTTTCCTCTTGTTATTGCTATGAAAGTGCGGTTCCGGACCTCCTCCGTCTCCTCTCTCTCCTTATATTATTACAATATGCATAGGAAAATATTATCCCAGGGAACCAAGGTCGATCAATTATCAATTGGTTTTCCTTTACTTTTTATATTTTAATGTTTTTTCAACATATTCTTAATATAAAAACCTAGCCAACTTGTTGCTTTTAGGATGTCCAAAACCAAATAAACTCATATAGAATATGCTAAAAACACTTGTTATGCAATAGAATCACAAGTTGTTAGGAAATTTACAAGATTAAATAAAATTTTGAATTACGTCTACAATGGGATTGAAATGAGACACGGTATATTTAATCGAGTATTTTCTTCTAGAGATCTCAATGGAATACATAAAGAAGATGAGAAATATAGATATCAAATTGAATAAGAGAATCTGTGGTGGAGGTCTCAACCTATAGGCAACGGAACGCTTGGGTCCTCGAAACTTTCTTTTTGATTTTTAGGTCCTTAATCCGTGAAAAATTTAATTGTATGGTAAGCGATAAATCAATTGGAAAAGAGAAAAAACCTAACCAACTTAAAATTTATTGGGAAAAAAAAGTTCATTGACATTGTACTCCTTTGAGCTTCCATTCCATAGCTTTGATCGCTTATCCCATTCATCTTTTGTGCTATAGCACTCAATCAGTGAGCTATATATCTGCCTTTTCTTTTTTCTGCCTAGGCTTGGACTGTGTTTATGTGTAAAAAATATTGAGCTCCTGCCTTCTTCTCAAGATGGGTGGAAAATTTCGTGCCCTTTTTCCTTATTATAAAGATTTAACAAGAAGAATAAATCTACATTTTTGTCACGTTACCACAAACTTGAAATAATGTTTTTCTTATTTTTCGTTCTTTTTCGTGTTGATTGAATTTTCCCGAAAGAACCATGAATCTGACAGAGTTCAAGTTTGCATAACAAAATGTGTAGAGAATGAAGTAAATAATCTCGATTCAGTGTTCTAATTTAAAACTTTTTCGATAATCAATAACATATACCTACTATAACAAGTACTTTTAAATAGTCGTGATTCTGAAAATTGAGAGGTAGTACTATAATCTAAAAATATACAAGCTAACTTAAAAAATAATACAAGCTTAATTTTTTATATGAGGTGGTTCAAAATGATATTGTAGCTGATAAAAGTCGAGTTTATACCTATTTATGAAGAATTTACACTTATCAAACTTTTATCAGAAATTAAATTTCAATTAATATATGATTTTATTCTTTAATAGTTTAGAAATAAAAAATTATGGCTGAACTAATCCAAGATGAACAAACCCTAGAAAAGATGTGAAGACTTTTGTGGTTCTCCTGAGCATCACATCACCATCTTCCTACCTATAAAGCTTGGTCTTTCCTTCTGACATTTTTCTTCATTAAATCATAGACAGCTTCCTTTTGTGTTTGGAGATATTAAGAAGGAAGATTGAGAAAGCAAACAAATCCAAGATGGGAAGAGCACCGTGCTGTGACAAAGCCAACGTAAAGAAAGGACCATGGTCTCCTGAAGAAGATGCAAAACTCAAAGCCTATATTGAGAAATATGGTACTGGTGGCAATTGGATTGCTCTTCCCCAGAAAATTGGTAAGTAGTAAACATCAATTTTCTAAATATTATTTATACATCTGATATCTTAATTGATAGGGGAAAAACGATTCATGTAGTCGACCCCAAATTCGTTGAAAATTAACATATGGAAATCATGATTATAGGGCTTAGAAGATGTGGAAAGAGTTGCAGACTCCGATGGCTAAATTACCTTCGTCCCAACATCAAGCATGGTGGATTCACCGAGGAAGAAGACAGCATCATCTGTAACCTCTATATTAGTATTGGCAGCAGGTCTTTCTCTCTCTTCCCCCTCCCTAACCCTACGGCACATGCACAAGCACGGGCAAAAACTTAATTTCCATGAGTTTGAGCCATTACTACTTGTCCTTTTGCAATTATCCATGATCCTTTTGTTTTAAGAATCATCTGTGGATTCTCAAGATTCAAAATTTTCATTTAAGGGTTTTGTTAGTCTTTCTTCTTGATCTTCAGTGGCACGCTTGGTAAGATTAACTAAATTGTATTAACCAATAAAAAAATTGTTACGATCATTTCGTTGAGTCGTCTGTACCAATTTTCTGGAGTAGTCTTAATTATCATTGGACTGATCGGTTCATTCAAATCTATGTGATCATAGGTGGTCCGTAATTGCAGCACAACTACCAGGAAGAACAGACAATGATATCAAGAATTACTGGAACACCAGATTGAAGAAAAAGTTACTCGGAAGGCACAAACAGTCGACTCACGCGAGCAGGCTCTCAATTGCAGATGATCAGAGCCCAAAGGGTGTAGATGATAATGCCTATTTGCAGAACTTGAGCAGTTCAGCACTGGAAAGACTTCAGCTCCACGTGCAGCTTCAAGGTCTACAAAACCCTTTCTCTTTCTACAATAATCCTGCACTTTGGCCCAAGTTGAATCCCCAAAAAATGATACAAAACCTCCAATATTCTTTGAATGAAAATCAAAATATTATTATGCCACAAGCCCCTCATAGTCCAAATCCCACTGCTGTTAGACTTCAACAAGAGTATTGCACTATGAACAACTTCAAGGTTACCGAGCAACTGAACACGAACACGGACATTGACACAGGAGTTAAGACAGGATCAACATATACCCAATCTGAACTTGATGATTTCCTCAGCAAAGAAGCTGCTAATGTGCAACCTACAGAGAGTCAGATAGCAGAATTTGATTGTTTCCGAAATGTTGAATGGTGGTCTAATGAATTTGATTATTCCTCAAGATCTGGGGACTCGGCTTCTTTTCTTCATCAATCTGAAGAAATGTGTCAAGAATATGGACTAGGTACTCTAGGATACAATTTGCAGAATCTGTCACAAACTGGGTCAATATGAATTTTCATGCCTATTGTCGCGTTATCTAGTAAGGTTATCATAGAAATTTATAGTTCTATTTGTTACTTGCGCATAAGACGGGAAGAAGGATAAGCTGATTATTGGTCTTGTAAATTGTATGAATAATGTTGTGTCCTTGTCATCTTCGCAAAGTTTGTACTCCACTCGACTCTTAATGGAGTTATGCCATTATTAAGTATTCAAAATTGAGCCCATATATTTTGTAAAAATTGATTTCTTGAGAATGTATGGTTTAAAAGAGTGTGTGTGTGTGTGTGTGTGTGTGGGGGGGGGGGGGGGGGGG